CCCTCCAACCCTCAGTTTGTTTTGTGAGATTAAGAGTCACTTATGGTTTGTCTCCCTCCCAATCCCATCTTGTTTCATTTACTCTTCTCCTACCCCCTTAACCCCCCATGTTGCATCTCCTCTCCCTCATATCAGGGAGATCATATGATAGTTGTCTTTCTCCGTCACAATCATTATTCTTATTGCAGTCTGTGCAGTAAGTATTCTCATAGATTTACCAGCATCGTTGCTCTTCATTTCTTCTTCCATCTGTAGACTTCAATCTGGAATCATATGCATTCTGCATAAAGAATACCCTTCAGTGTACTTCGTCTGGTGTGAGTCATCTGCTGATGTCACATGGTCTCAGTTTTTATTCTTCTGGAAACATCTTTATTTGTCAAAGATGTTTATACTGGTATAGAATTGTATGGTAACAGTTTTCTTCGAGCCCTGGAAGACATCCTCTCATGCTTTTGCCCTCCATTGCTTCTTTTGAGAAGTCACTGTCAGGTTTAATACTTGTCCCTTTGGAGATAATCCATAACACCTTTTTCTGCTGTCTTTGAAATTTTCATCTTTGATTTTCAACATTTTGCTCTCATGTGCTCAGATACATGTGTATATATGGTGTATGTGTGTTTTGAGTCTTTGGCTTATGTATCATTGTTTTGGGGAAATTTCCGACTGTTGTCTTCTCGGATAATACTTCTGTTCCACTCTTTTTCACTTTTCCTGTGGGGGTCCAATTACACATATGTAATGACTTCTCATAATATCTGAAGTCAAGTCTCCATTTTAGTGCAATGTTACTTTAATGGTTTATTTATGGTAGCTTTTTTTGGTCTACAACTTGATATTTTCTGATACATGATATACTGAATAATCTGTTTATTAATCCAAAAAAAGTAATCTGATTCTGTATGGAGAAGCACTGAGTAGTACACAGTCCTCTTATTTGGTCATGAAGTAGCATTTTTGTAAAGTTTTCTTTTCTAGATTTGTTCATCCTTTTCATTAAATGGATATTACCTAAACTCCTAAGCCAGCTTTCACAATATAGTCTTTCTCTTGATGTCATCACTGTTCTATAGGAAGAGTAGTCTGGGTGCTATGCAGGGTATTAAAGAAGAGTTACTGTAGATAGAAAGAAACTGGAAATAAATGTATTAATACATGTGTAAAGTGGTGAGTAAATGGACAATGGAATTTTACCTTTTTTTTTTAATTGTACAGGTTTCTTTCTTCTTACATTTCATATACTTCTCTTTAAACGCTGACATGAGTTTTTAGATTATCTTCTGAAATGTTTCCGTGTTTACTGGAAGGTATAAAATAGGGATAAGAATTTCTTTGTGAATAGCAGTAAGATTTTAAAAGTTAATATTATAAACATTTTTTAATCTTATCATAGTCAATTAGCTTTTAAAAAAATATGAATTTGGGGGGCACCTGCATGGCTCAGTTGGTTAAGCTTCTGACCACTGATTTCAGCCCAGGTCATGATCTCATGCGTCCTGAGATCAAGCCTTGGTCGGGGCTCTGTGCTCAGCAGGGAATCCACTTGGGTTCTCTCTTTCTCTCTCTTGTGCTCTCTCTGTCCCTCTCTGTATGCCTCTCTCTAAAATAAATAAATAGGTCTTTTTAAAAATTTTTTTTAAATGTGAATTTTTGACTAGTTATGAAAAATTATTCAAGAAAGTAACTGATAGGTTTTTTTTGTTTCTGTAGACCTTTAATATTGATGTACGGCAGTTACATTGGGCAGAATATATAGAGAACTACTGCATGGGAACTAAAAAATATGTACTAAATGAAGAAATGTCTGGCCTCCCTGCAGCTAGAAAACATTTGAACAAGTAAGTTTTTTTACATCAGCTTGATTTCAGCTTGTCTTATGAAACATTACAAAAAAAATTTTTTTTTTGTAAGCTGGTATATTGAATAAAAGATACTGCTAGTGTAATATATTGCATTTAGGAAAAGTGCTTACCTTTGGACTGAAGCTATGAGAGTTTTAATTTAGCTCATGATTATTGAAACTTACTGTCAATTTATACTGTTCCTAAGCACTAATTTCAGGTGAAATTTAGTTTTGAAAATCACTATAATCTTTCCTTATATTGCTACTGAAGAAGTAAAGATACTAGGAGAAAATAAAGATGTATTTTAAACTAGAGATAATTTTAAAAAATAAGCTAGAGGTAATTTGTTTGAAGGGGTTTTTGTTTGTGTTTTTTTTTTTGGATTTTTTTTTTTTTCCCTAGTCAAATACATCTTTGGAAGGGAAAAAGAGATAAAATAATACATCATTCAGAATAGAATTTTTTCTTTATTTATAAAACCAGAGTTGTAATTATTCCCTTAGTCTCATTATAAACATAATATATACTTATTGTTCTAAAACTTCAGACGACACAGGAAAAATCATTGCTGTCCCATAATTCAGAGATGCAGTTAATTTCAATAGTAACCTCTTTTCATTTGTAGTGTTTTTATAATACAATTTTTATAATAGTTTTTAAGACCTTCAAATCATTCTTCTTTTACCTCCAACTTGTATGAGGCTCTGCAGGGCAATTAGTTGTGTGGCTGAGGAAAGGGAAGCTTAGGGAAGTTGTGTTTGCCTGGGTCATTTGTATTAGGTGGCAGAGGAAACTGGAATACTAATCTTTGACTCTTAATTCAAAGGTCTTGTTTTTTATATCAATGTATATTATAGTCCTATCTTGGAATGCCTATTGAAGTTAATGGAATTTATGTAGCATTGTTACATATCTGAATGTTTGTATTCTTTTCTAACACCCTTAAAATGATAAAAAAGTGTTTTGAAACATGAGCACAGTAACATTAAGATTACTCTTTGAGAATGGGAAGTTTCTCCTATGTAGACTAGTGCCATGGTTCATTCATGGATGAGGATTTGTCCAGTTGGCTTTTGATCATGTGACTGTCACCTACCTATAACTAAAGAAGTTCACTTGTCTGACAATTTGGAAGTTGTTAAAGATGTTTAAAATGTCTATTTTATCTAGAAGATGATGTATATAATGAGCAAGCCTTTTTAGATTAGATGGGAAGCTCCAGAAGTACAAGGGGCATATCTGTTTTACCCACAATATACTTAGTACTGGTCACACAGAAAGATGCTCAGAAATACTTGTTGAATGAATAATTTGCATCCCAGATATACTGTTATAAAAAACCTTTGTGTTATTCATTGTTAATAGAGGTACTGCATTTGATGGACTACATGGTCAGGTCTGACTTTTGCTAACTTTCTAACTTAAGGGCTTCTAATTAATTTTTAAATAGGTTTCAGATTAATAATGGATTTGAAAACTGAGCATCGAGTAATCTGCCATCCAACAATATTTTATTCTAGAAAACATTGTCTGATATGTCTCTTGATTTGCTTTCCAGGTTGAGGAATATACGGTATGGTTTCAATACTATCCTTGTGATCCTGATTTGGCGCATTTTTATTGCAAGATCACAAATGGCAAGAAACATCTGGTACTTTGTGGTTAGTCTGTGTTACAAGTTTCTGTCATACTTCCGAGCATCCAGCACTATGAGATACTGAAGACAAGAACTTAGCATTAGAACATCTATGCATATGGTGGTCCGAATGCACAAAATGTAAAATGTACTTAAGTCATCTCACCTTTTGTCAAGACATTAAACCATCTTAGATCAGAGTGTGGAGTAAAGTATGGTACATTTTATGTAACATTTTTAATGTTTATGCTTATAAAAATGTAGTGAACACACTGTGGTCATGCCAGCTCAAATCTACAATAGCCACCAAAACCATGACTTTAACATTTTGATCCCTGGGGACAAGGGGTAGGGTGAGGGTAGGAGTGGGGAAATAGGAACACTGACCAGTATAACTGTGCAATTCTGGAACATATTAATTAAAATATGCCTTAACATTTAGTGACTTTCTAACTCAAATATATAGTGCAGTGGAAAGCATTTATTTGGACAGGAATACTTAGGTAAGTTGGTAGATATTTCATTCTTCAGTGTTTGATTTTTTTCTTCAGTTGAAATAGGTTTTAGTTTTGTTAAAACTGTAGCCAAAACTATTTTCACATCATTCTGTAAGTTATTGAGTGGTCTCCAATATGAAAGACATGTTCTCATTTTCCTTTTTCTGATTAGTGGTCTGATGCACATCATTTTTGTATAAGCAATCAGTTGCTTCCATAATCAGAAGGCTATATATTATTCTAAAGACCCTACTGGATCTAAACAGGTTTGAGAATCCATATCAATATATGCTATGTATTTTTTGAAGGAAAATGAGAATGGATTCATTAAGACTATTACTATCAAAAAGAATAGGAATACATTTTTCTTGTCTGTATTATGACCAAATAAAAATCAGTCCTGTAAGGTTTTGTTCATGTTTTGAAGTTGGAGGATTTCTTGAGACTTTGGCAAAGGGGGGGTGCAGGTGGGGAAGGATTCATCATATTTGTGCTCTCTTCCCCTTATACATTTTATTAACAGGACTTTTAAAAGGCTAAGTACAGTCTTTCCAATGAAAACTGAAAGTGCTTTATTATGGAAGAATGTATTTGCAGGTAGTCATAATATTAAGAGAATGTTCTCACATGTGTGTAAACACATACTAAACTTTTGACCTTGAGAGCGGAATTCCTTCAAGAAAAATAAAATAGTGCATAAAATAACGTGTATAAAATTAAAGGACTTTATTTACATACCACATAAAGTAGCAAACTGTTGAATGAGTTTCAAGATACCATTTATTTTTTCTGCATGTAGTTTTAGCTTTAGAAAGAAATGCATTATAGAAACAAGTAATAGCAAGAAAATTAATGTATATTTTAATGATAATTATTCCCTTTAAAGCTTAATAGTAGTTAACTCTCCTTACTGTTTTAACATACATTTGGTTTAACAGATTGATCAGCATAACTGTTATAATTTAGCTGATCAAGTTGTACTATATTTAAATCATCAACAGTATATCTTAAATGTGTTTAATGAGGTCAGTTCACAATACAAAAAGTTACATAGTATTTTACACCTTAATTTTCTCTGTCAATTTAAATGCAATGTGTAAGAAGTTTATTTTGTTATTGTGAAAAAAACTAAATGTAAAGGAAACCACCTTCTTCCATGCAGGTGGGTAATCTTGAAAAGGAAAAATGCTTCCATGTTGAAGCCAGATTTTCTGTAGTAAAACTTTTAAACATTATTTTAAAAGAAATATGTATATAAATATATAAATATTCTTTGAAATGATACTAAGTCTCTGGTCCAGGACCATATCTTGCATAAGGTGTGAGAGACCATGCAGTGTCTGAAAATGGAGTAAATGATGATGCCTTTAATTTAAAGTGGCCCACTAATTAACTCTGGATGCTCTATACATTGAGTACTCCATCACTCCAAATACATTTCCATAATATGTTGAAAACATGCTAATAACATTTGTGTGATGTGAATACTTCTGCCAAATACACTTAGAATCAGATGAATTGTCTTTGTATCTTGCAGAAGAATCAGGTACAATTTTGACAGGCATGTGAAGTACAGACAGCGGGGGTATGTCTTCTGACCTATGTCATTGTTCTTGTAATCCGACATAAAGAAATGCTAGCTGGGACGGGTGCTGAGGCCACTGCATTAATGTTGTGTGTTTGTTTAGAATTCCATTGTCAGAAGAAACTAATGAATAAATTAATAAATTAATATGACATTTTAGAACTTAGTTCTAAAATTAGTATGAAGAGTATATAGGTTGTTAATCCCTACCAACTGGACTTTAAGCTTAACTCAAAGATTTTGGAAATCATTTTTGTTTGTGTCATTTGCTAGACATGGTTTTTAGTTACGTTTGGTTATATTTTCTACATGAACTCAATTTTTAACACAATAACCTAATTAAATTTAATATTTAATTCATTTGATAAAGCTATATTGTAAAACATTTGGTGTTTTCCCCACTATTCACTCTTGAGTCTCTGCATTTGTCAATTGTGGCATCATTTGTGGCTATATTGCAATTTGACTTGGCAACATTAATATATTTTAAAATTCAACAAAGCAGCATGGCAATACGCTCTTTGACTTAAGAATGGTATAAACATGGTATAAAAATGGTAATAAAGCTTGGAAGCAGGGAGGAAAAAAATCTTATTTCTCCCCTTTTTTTGTGTGTGTCTGTAGGAGCTGGTTCAGGGTTTTTTGCTTTTTGTTTTAAATGTAAATTGATAATCTTTTATAAGAAGTAAATAGAAGCATTATTGGGTGCCTTTGTTTGTAAACCAAAAAGTAATAAATGAATCCCTATATTTCCATTATAGTATTTATTGTATTTTTACAATAATTACCCAGAAAACTATACTGAAAATATTACCTGTCAGATAATTTGGTTAGAATTATAGGAAGCAGGCCTCACGTATACTACTTACCTTTTTTTAGGTACTCTCATTATCTCTTGTATCCTAATGTTACTTAGTTGAGTCTCTTAGAAGCATTTTAGGGGAAGCAGACAGGATGAATACCTTTCATTATAGTATTATTTTTATGTATTGTCTGGAATGAGGTGGTTTTTCTGTCTTCTAAAAACAGTACCAGGAGACTGCCAGGATCTCATTTAGGTGCCAGCTACTGTCCTCCACGTTGAATGATACCATTTTAATTTATAGGTACATTTGTAGCAGTTTATCTATTGAGTAAGGATAGGGGAATCACTCATTAGTAATAGAGATTAACTATAAAAAAGAAGGTATTGGGCTCGTTCAGGTGAGTGTAAATGGCCTTCCAAGAATGCTTTCCAGGCTGCTTCTAAGCCCTAACTTGAAACAATTAACACTAATTTGCTGTACTTTGAGAAAATACTCTCTGAAATTTTGCATGAGAAACTAGAGACTGGAAGGTATGCTGCATAACTTGATATAGAAGTGAGTTAATTAAACTTATAGTCTCTGTGATAAAAGAAATAAAACTATTTTCTTACTGAATTAATGTTTTTATCTTGAAGCATTTTCTAGTCATAGAATGAATTTATCTTTTTTTTTTCTTTTGGTGGTGCACGCTCTTCCATTTCTGTTACTCTTAAGATTCCTAAGCTAATTGTCTTTGTCAGTTGAGCATCGTTGTGCATAATTGTTAAATAATTTCTTTGATTTTTCTTTATTAAAGAAAAGTTTGAGTAACATTAAGTTTGACGTGCTCCTTTTGCAAGTTGATGGCTCTAAAATACATTTATGTAGGAAAAACTTAAAGTGATAAGTGTAAGTTCAATATCTTTACTGTGGTCCTGAACTCAGGGGAATAAGGCTATACCTGTCTTTTTATTTTTATTTTTCTTCTTTTTTTGGTAGGGGGGGCAGTCACAGATCATAGACACTAACTATGATTTTATACAAGAAGAGAGGCAGTGGAGTGGAGATTTTTCTAGTTCTTCTCTTTGAAATGTTTACCTTAATATTCTCAACTAGACATAACTTCATTTTCATGCTACAGTTTAATGGAGTTGAATTAGGCACAGAATTCCATTATTTTCTGCTGGTTGTACAGAAAACCTAATACAGTCTCGCTCTCTGTCTCTTGTGTGTGAATCTGTGGAGAACCCTTGAGATTCTCAAGGAATAACTAGAAAGGAATAACTAGAAAGTATTAGGTTGAGCCATATAAAAATGGTAATATTTGATCATCTTAAACCTATAAGGTCTAAAACTTTAATGTGACTCATTCTAGTATTAGAGCTCCTTTTTTTTTTTTTTAAGCAAACATCTGAACCTAAATAAACAGTTGAATGTGGTCCTATTTAAAATAATCATCCTAGGAGACTGTATATTTCATCAGTAGTTAAGTTTTTAAACATTAAACACCTAACTTTCTGCTTTGTGTTGTATCTTTCACAGGTTCTTGTCATTTCTCCCAACTTGAGTCTTGATTTCTTTAAAGGAAAACCAGCCTTGCACCTTCCATGTTGTAGAAATAATACCAGTGAACGTTTGTTGAGCACTTGCTGTGTCAGGCAATACTCATATATGTGCTCAGCCTTTCAGCAATGCTTTGAGGAAGGTTCCTCTATCACCTTTTATAGGGGTTTTATAGGTGAAAAAAGCATATGATGGTAACAATTTACCCATGTTACACTGGTAGTGACAGAGCCAAGGTTTGAACTCAGGTAGTCTCGCTCCAAAGCCCCACTACACAGTGCCCACCACACTATACTTTCACTGTAGGAACACAGGTGTTTCTGGACTATTCAGGTAAGTTGTCTGACATGCTCTTGTACTAAATGTCTTTATTCTCTTTCTTATTTTGGAACCCAGCAGTTATCAGAATATTCAGAACTTATTATGTGTTCATCCTGTGTTTTATATTGCAATTATCTATTTATCTGTTCAGATCACTCACCACAGTGCAAGCTCCTCAATGGTCTAGACCTGCGTATAACACACTACCTACCTTTTAGGATTTTGTGACTTAACATAGGAAAGTAAACATAGTTTTCATATAACATACAAAGAAAGAGAAGGACGAAATCCTAAAAGCACTGCTTAGTATTTCAGGGAAGAGCTCATACAAACATGACATTGAAGTTGTGGTTGTAAGTCTGATTGGGAGAGGGGTGCATTCCAGGTATAGAGAAGAGATTTGTAAAGCCTGGGAAGCGTGGAGCAGTGAGGAAATATTTTGATGCTATGGGGATAAGATGATAAAGGAATAATGAAGCAGTTGGAGGTCAACTGAGGGCCTTCAGCATGGTTAGAATCAGCTATATAGGCTGTGAAATACCTCTGGTCTAAAATAAAGTCTTCCTGGCCGAAGCATAAACAGTTCCTATTAACTATTAATAGACTTTGGACTTGAACTGACCCATTACGTTTCTTTTCTAAATGAAATCAGTTTGAGAGAGAGAAAAAAAGAGTCTACTCATACATTGTTACTAAGTATTTTTGAGAATACAAACCACAACAGAATTGAAACAACTGGCCTCTGGTTTTCAGTTATTTGAGTTATCCAGGTGGGATCCCTAGACCTAGATGCAGATGCTGCATCTCCTGGGACCTCAAATAGAAATGCAGCTTTCTGAACCCATCCTAGACTTACTCAATCAGAAATGGGTGGGACCAGCAATCTGATTTGACAAGCCCCGCCTCCCCAAGTGGTTGTTTGGTGCTACTGCTGAAGGTGGAGAAGCTCTGGGCTCTACAGTCTGTATTTGTGAGGAATCAGCATGGTCCACGCACAGTGCTGTCCTAGGATCCAGGACAAGGCCTGGAAATTGCCACTTGAAACTGAAAATAAGTATATAAAACACCACGCAGAACACATAATAGATGGAAAAGGGTCTGGCCTGGCAAGAATAATGCCGAAATTTTTGAGAGGTCAGCTTTGTGTGGTGG